CAAGAACAGGTTGCCTTTGAAAGTGACGTTGGACACGAAGGTGAAAGCAAAGGTGGGGAAATGTAAGTGGACCATTTGATGAACAGAGACACTGCAAACAATACAACATTGAACAGAGTGTGTTTTCTACTTTTTATTTTTATTTTTTATTTTTAATTTCAATTTTTTATCTCCCTTATTTATTACTTTTGTTGAGATATATAAAATCATTAACGTAGCCTCACCCGTCAGCTTAAGTTTTTGGGTTGAATTGGTTCTTTACATGATATCAGAGTCTCGTGTCCCGGGTTCGATCCTCTGCCTCCCACTTTCTCTTGTGGAATCTCTTAGCATAAGTAGGTGGGTCAGTGCATTGTCCACCCTTCAAATTGGACTCTCGTGTGAGGGAGCGTGTTGAGATATATAAAATCATTAATATAGCCTCACCCATCAGCTTAATCTTTTGGGTGGAATTGGTTCTTTGAAACTTTCTTTATTTTTCTTTTGGGCTTTTTTTAAGTCTGATTTTTTTGTTTTGGTATATTTTTCATTTAGTTTAATTTTTGACTTATTTTATAGTTTAGAATTTTTTTTAATATATAATTAACTTAGCTTAATTTATATGTAAAACAATTTATAAGTACAATGTAATTAATTATGGGTTACTACATGTATTAAATATAAACTGTATTATATTTATTAAAAATATTATTTAATAACAAAACGTGTCCTAACATTTCGAAATTTAATATTTTTTAGAATTATTGTGTCACCGTGTCGTATCATATCATGTCCCGTATCGATGTCGGTGCAACATAGCGTGTGACGTTGATGATGTCTTTAAAATCTTTGATAAATTATATGTAGGATCTGAATCTAGTACTGATCCAAAAGTATCAGCGCTATCTTTTGTTTAGGTTCATGAATCTAAAGTGTTAGGTGGATTTATTTCTTTGTATTTTTTACTATTATATATATATGGGGTAGGTTTTTTTATACTAGTATAAGACTAACAACTAACAAGTCTTACACCGCATCTCAACCGTTGATAGTCGAAAATCATCGATTTGTATTTGTAGTATAATTAATTATTAATTAATTTTAATTAATTCGTATGACTTCCTAAATTATAACTGTTCGATGCAAGAAAATCAATGGTTGAGATGTGGTGTAAGACTTATTAGTCTTATACCGATATACAATGATCTTGATCCTATATATATATATATATATATATATATATATATATATATATATATATATATTAAACAATGAGGGTCTTACAAATTTAGACTATTATTTATTTTACTTTTAATCTTTTATGGTAAAAAAATTCAACATATTTGATTTTATAGGCCGGTTGGAAATCTGTCTCAAAAAATTGTTTTTTTATTTTCAGAAGAAAAAAGAAAAAAAAATATGTTTAATAAAGCCTGTTTTGTAAAAAAAAAAAATTGTAATTGTTTTTATTTTTAATTTTAGAATCAAATTCAGAAAATATATTTTAGTTATTTTTAAAGTAAAATATTTTTTTTTTGGTACATTGTCAGGAGGTATCCCCATTCAACCTTCTCCGGGTACCATGCCCTCGGGATACGGCCCGTTTGAGCTAGCCCCTCATTGTAACAGTGGGTGCACTAAGCTTCGCAACCGGAGAAAGGACGAGACTAATCCCCCAACCGAAGATTTTTTGGCTTATCCTCTGGCCCCCAAAGATTTTCCAAGAAACTGCTTGAGGCAGGGTTTGCTCCCTGCACCAAGCAATCCATTGGGAGCTCAGCTGCCAACTGAGCTACCCTTGGGGTTAAGTAAAATATCTTTTTTGGTTCTTAACAAATATAACAGGGCCCAAATTAATCCTTTAAAACGAAAATTGATTCGTGGTCCATCTGAATTCCAAAAGAGATCAAAGGGACTAAGATGGATCTTCTTTGAATTTCAGAGAGATTATGATTTTGATTAATTGAGTCTATTTTGAATTTTAGAGATACAACAAGTCAACTTTTTTTTAAGGTATTAAATTACGTCCCATAATTTATATTGAGGATAAAAAATATACTTTATTTTTATTTTTATTTTGTGTTTTAATTTTTAACTTTGTTAAAGAAACTTGTTGCACTAACACGTAAAAAGTCAAATACACATGCGGATCCTGATTTTTTATTTTTTTTTAACATCAGGATTCGCATGCGCATCCTAATATAAATCAAATTGCTACAAAAAATTTCATCTGCATCAACAGTAAAAGTGACTAACCATTCTTTATATATTCATAATCCAATTTATATCTACAATAAATTTATAGTACTCGTTTCTTATATGGGATAGTTTTTTTTGTATATATTTGGAACGAAGTTTTTAAAATGATTTTTTTTAATGATCCTGTGTAACTAATATATTTCGTTTATTTACCAACTTACAGGCATATTTATCTAGTTTAATTATTTTTTAGCCAACTTTGTTACAAATATAATAGTAAACGTGGTTTTTTATACAAGCGGTTTTTAAAATTATAGACAGATATGTTATTAATTCGAGGTAGGATATTCTTACTACTAATTTTTCTACTACCATTCCACTACCACTTTAATTACCATTGGATTCAAAAGTTATTTTTTCTCTCTCTCTTCATTCAACTTTTACTCTAATCCAATGATGATTAGAGTGGTAGTGAAGTGATAGTAAAAAAAATAGGTAGTAAGAATATCCTAACTCTATTAATTCTATGAGTTTGTTTTTTCTAAAGTTACTTTAGATAACTTTATCTAATGTTCATCGAAACGACGTCGTTTTGGGACGGAAATCTTGATATTTTTGTAATTTTAATTTATTTCAGGGTTATAATAGTCTTTATCATTCTAATTTTTTTAATTTTTCAATCTTAAAACGACGTCGTTTCGATGAACATTAGATAAAATTGTCTAAAGTAACATCAGAAACTTTTTTCCCTAATTCTATATATATTATATGTAATTCCTGGTTGTGATTACTTGTGAACGTAATTATTTTTTTCATTGTAAACTTTATGTTTTAAACTATTTATCTTTTCTCTTCTGTGACCCAATGGGTGCAGCTCAGTTGGTAACTTGGCGCTGAGTTAGTGGGGTTGGATATGTGTTCGATTCCCGCTGAATGCATTCTTGGGGAGGGGGCTGAACCTTTAGCCATCACTGTTCCCCCGCACTCCGGATTAGTCTCATAGCCGGCTCAAAGAGTCGAAGCTCGTGGGGATACCGGAGGGAGCCAACTCGTCTCAAAGAGATAATTAGGGTTGGGTAACTCCAAAAAAAAAATCTTTTCTCTTCTGTTTTTTTACCATTTGAAGTTATAAATTATTTTTAACTTTTAATGAAAATTTTATCTGTTAAATAATTTTTCAAGATTACATCCAAAATCATTCAAATAATTCATTAACCTCAAAACTCATTCAAAGAATCCATTAATTCATTTCAAGATTAAGGGGTATTGAATTAGGATTTTAAAAGATTTTTTTGAGATAAATTTTTTTACAGATTTTAAAAGACTATTTAGAATTGGAGGGACTTTAAAGACTTTTTTAAAAGATTTTTTTTACAAGCAAGATTTTATAAGGTTGGATTTTAAAGTATTTTAATAGAATTTATAAGATCTGAGAGGACAATAAGGATTTACAAGATTTGAAAGGACAATAAGAATTTTTAACAAATATTCAAAATTACAAGAGTTAATAAAAAAACAAAGAAATGCAATGAAATTAATAAAAAAAGTAAAATCTAATATAATTTTATCAATTAATCAAACATAATTTAATTTTTAACAAACATTCAAAATTACTAAGCAACAGCTTTTCACATATCTAAAGTTATACTAGTCCTCCATGCATTACTATTTTCTCGTTCTTGTTCTTCGGTTTGGCCGTTGAAAATTATCTTCTTCATTTGGTATCAAAGTTATGCATATATGATTATAAGACCCAAATTTTTTAATTATTAAAATAATTCTAAATTTACATATAGAACCTAAAGTTCATGATAAATTTTTGTTTGGAATTTTTTGTAATTGATCTTAAAAACCTTGAGAATTTTGTTCTATGTGATGAGAGTTTTCTAACCATATAATATACATATTTTAATGGAATATTCTAAGAAAATTTCGAATATGAATTTTTGAGTTTTATTACATAAAAGTTTAGAAAATTTCTAAACTTTTTTTTCAACCGATACATTGAAACCTTAAATTGCTTTGGAGGTTTTTGAAAAATAATTTTTTAGTTATATATTGATACAAAGATTGTTTGAATTTTTTCCTACAGTGAAGAAATTTTTTACGAAATATAGGGGTCATGTTATGAAAGTCTCAATCTTTCTTTAAATTGATATTGTTTCATTGATATAAAACGAAAATTAGTTTGAGGGTTTTAATTCTCCTGTTATTTTTCTACTATTTTATTTTGCTCTTAATACAAAAATCACATCTTTTTGCGCCAAGAAAAATCGCAACCTATAATTTAAAAAATAACTTTTTAAACTTCTAAAATTTCTCAAAAATATCCTGTTTTGAGATAGATTATATTAAAATCTCGTTAGTTTGTTGTTTCTAGGTTATTTTGTGATGAAAATCGCTAAAAAAAAAGTTATTATTGAGTTTTGACGAAACTCTCGTGGCGGAACTCGATTTCGAGCAGATCAACATGCAAAAGGAAGAAGAAAACACTGCAATAGATAAATATCAAGAAACCTAGAGGTTGTGAAATTGTGGGAGAAACATCCTATTTATATTTCTTACTAAAAAGTCTCACAAAATTCACACTAATAAAAAATCTATTAAAATTAGTAGATTTTTGAACATCACAGAATTGTTTTTTAATTGTTTAAAATCTTGACATATTTGAACAGATTTTAAAATAATTTTTTAAAATCTTAATTAAATACCACATAATTTTTTTTCAATCCATAGAATCCCAATCGAATACTCATGGATTTTTTAGTCAATCCCCAATCTAATGCACCAGCTCGTTGAACCGCTGCGTTTTGTCTAAGGAAAAGGGTTCGCCCACCCCAAATTCAATTCGAAGCTGAGCTAGGTTTCTAGGGTTCCCATTCCTCTCAGTTGCTCTGCAATTTCTGCTCCGCCACGCCGTACGACGTCGTTCGCCGCGAACTTATCGTTTCTTCGTTGCTCTTAGGGTATGTTTTTCTTCACAATTCTCTTTGCGCTTTGTTCTGAGAGAGAGAGAGAGAGAGAGAGAGAGAGAGAGAGAGAGAGCTATTTTCAGTGTGATAAAATTTTCATGTTATTGAAATTGAAGGAAAAAGGAGGTTCATTGGATATGGATGTTGATGAGCATTTGAATGCTGTTGGAGATTCTGGTTCTGAAGCTGAAAACAAAAGAAGTGATTCTTTAGATAACGAGAACAAGTCATGCCAAGCTGAACCTGAGGATTTGCAAGTTGGTATTGAGTTGACGGAGACTGTTACCATGCATGCTGAGAATGGAAGATGTATCCTTCTATCAATTCCCAATGAAAAGATGTTCTTTGAGGTTCTACTAGTTTACTTTACATAAGTAAATTAGATTTTTTTATGTACTTAGTGCAATTTTTGCATCTTAATTATTATAATCTGTTTTACTTATTGCTTGCTTGGATTAGTTCTATGCAGTCATCTTCCTAGTTCTACTTCAATACTGTTTTGGAACAGTTTTATCTCCTGTTATTATGTGATCCCTTAACATGATATGTTAGCTGTATCAGGTGCTAAAAGAGCTCGGATTACTGTTGATGAACATCAACCTTCAGTTCATTTCGTTTATAGTTCCCTAACAAGGTTTGTTGTATTGCCTCCCTTTTTACAAGTTATTCAAAAGTACAATGGGGTATGGTCTATATATCCAAAGTGAAAAAGAAGAAGAAGAGCTATATATGTTGTTTTTTTATTTATTATTATTTAATGTTAGATTGTACGTTCCTGCAGTATGGTTTCCTTGATTGATATTTTGCCTTGTGTTTGAACACTTTCAGAGCTAGTAGAAAGAAGCTTGAGGAACTACTACAACAGTGGTCGGAATGGCATGCTAAACACATTACTTCATCCAATGTAAGGCCAATTATTTTTCATTTTTCATGGTGAAAGAAGATTTTTCTTAATAGTAAATAAATGAGTAAATATAGGATAGAGAATAAAATATCATGACAAGAAAACATGGAAAAAGAACGAATGTGTGAATATAAGTATTTGAAATGAAATTAGAGTTTGAACAGTTATCATTGTTGAGCTGTAATCCAAATAATGACTAATGATTGACAAAGAAGCACAAATACAAAGACGTGCTTACAATCAATTAAAAAACTATATGACCATTGCAGGTGAGGGTGCTTTCAATTTCAAATTAAGCCTGAAGCTTGTTTTTGATGCATGGCCAATGATTTTGGCATTGATGATGAGTTGTGATTCTTGGTCTTCAGACATAATAACCCTTATCAAAATGTGGCAATCCGACAAATCTTTATTTTCTGGAGATGATTATATATCACGCGACAGAAAAATGACTTTTGTTTATAATTGGCTTTAGACTTGAGATTGACACAATATTGTAAAAATTTACCTGTAGATAACTCGAGTGATTTAGAGAACATCCAATGGAAGGATTCTTAAAAGTTTGGTGTATTGGCAAGGAAATGAATGGCAAATGTGCTATTAACAAATGCAGTTTTGCTTTTTTAGTTCTCCATGGAATGAGATAAGTTTATTATGTTTTCTGTTCAGGATCCTAGCGAAGTTTTGGAATCTGGTGAAGAGACTTTTTTTCCTGCTCTACATGTTGGACTTGAAAAGACCTCTTCCGTGGTAAGTTTACTTAGTTTGTTCAGTCTGTTTATGCGAACCTGGAAAATTGCAGGTTGTGGAGCTTTCAATTCCACTGCTAGGAAACTTTTCTGTCACTAGTTTCAAGTGTTAGGACAGCTGGAGTTGTTCTTGGATTGTCCAATTTCTTTCATGGTCTAAATCTGACTTATCTGGAATAAAGGTTTTAGTTGTGGCCCTCAACTGCAACTACGTGCAGTTGGTTGTATTAATAGGGCTAAGGTTACAGTAGCCATCGCGGTGTGAATTCTGTGTTTTGTAAAAATTGCCTCATCCTTTATTAATATTCTTTGTTTTTAACTCTTCTTCAAGTGTGACATTTGTTCCATCATCGTTTTATCTTTATTAATTTTTATTTGGCATTCATGCTGCCTTTTCCTGATTTCCTTTATTTCTAACTATTGCATCGTGAGAATTGTAGGGTTGTTGTGGTAAGCCTGTTTGAGTAATAGCTACGCCATTAACCATTATGAGGATAACAGACATGATATAGTATTAGCTAATACACACCCGCATTGTCTTATTTTGAGGTTATTTATGTTGCAATGTAAAAAGGAAATGTTTGTTTGCAATGTCATTATTTTTTTACGATTTCTTTGAATTGCAGTCATTCTGGATGGAGAACCAGACAAGAAATGATAAGAATAAAGATTTCATTCCTTTAGATGGTGATTCTGTGCCTCTATATGATCGCGGATATGCTTTGGGATTGACTTCAGCTGATGGTTCAAGTAATGTGGATGGGTATGCCCTGTTACTTGTATTATCTTAGGATGAAATTATAGGTGCACTTAGCTTACAAGTTCTAGTGGTTCATGTTATCATGTGATGTTTCAAATACAATATTATGAAATATGACTAGTGGAAGTATCTGCTTTGTATTAATATCATGATTAGCCTGCTAGCTTGTTTTTTGGTTTTCCAATTGTATGTTTCCCGGCATATAGAAACCTTTTCTCAGAGGCTCAATAAAATCCTCAATCAGTTTTGTTACAGAATTTGTTCTTTCTGGATCTTCTGTACTGCAAAAATTTGTTTTTATTTCAAAGTTCTACTTTAAGTAGGTTTAGCATTAAACTACATCTTTATATGTCTTATTGGTGTCTTTATATTTTTGACAGTGTTAGATTGGCTTGTTTTTTTAGATTTTTTAAATGGTTGGGATGATTTCAGATGGAAAGCCTATTTTTAATTCTTTGTAGAAATGTTTATTTAGTTTTGCAAAATTTGAATTTTTGGTCCTATAGAAGGAAGAACATTCCAAGCCGACTAACAATTTTAATTCTTTTTTTTCCTTGTAGAATGGCTAACATTTTGTTCTATGGTACAAGGGCTTTGATTATGTGAATTATGTTGTTCTATTGGGTTATGGGCTAAGAGAAAAATGTTTTATTGGGTTAAGAGGTCAAATTTTGGGAATATGGGAACTTCTCTGGATTCTTTATGGTGCAATTGAATTTCAGACCTTTTTACATTGCTTTCACTTCTTATGTGCTTTACTTTTTTTTAGCGTCTTGATTTAACATTTAGATTGCATGCATTTTTGTGTTCTGGTGGTCTGTTACTAATTCTAAGGAAGCTTTTAAATTACTTATTTTAAAGAGTGTCTGATGGGCTAGGATTAGTGGGCCCAAGTTTAGCAATGCAAAATTAGTTAGTTAGCTAGTTTGTTAGGGAAATTATTCTAGAATATTCCTAAATAATAGGATATAAGGAGGGGGTGTGAGAGTGTGAGGTATTCATGTATTCAGAATATTTGGAGTGGGGTTTTGGGAAAGGATCTCTTGGGATCTCTTTGGCCTAGGTATTTGGCTTTAGAGTGAGTGAGGTCTTTTGGTGTTTATTTTCTGTATTTCCTTTATATTTTCTGCAATTTATCCTTGTAAGGAGCTTGTCTCCATTTATATTTCTGCAATTTCTTATGAATAATATTAGGTTCCATCAATTTGGTATCAGAGCACTTCCGATCTAGGGGTGTTCTTGATCCAGATCTGAAAAAAAAAAAAAAAATGAAGTTCAGATTTACTGATGTTCCAAAATTCTTTGGAGAAGAAAGAGATGATGCTTGGGGATGGCTGATCGATTTGGAACAATATTTCCAGATCGAAGGAATCAATGAAGATCAAAAATATAGGGAAACGGTGAGAGGGCTAAGAGGGAGTGCGTTCAATTGGTATCAAGGTTGGAAGTGGTTGAATCTTACCGCAAACTTGAAGAAGTTTGAGAAGGCGTTCATAGAGAAATATTTACCGGAAATTTTATTGGTAGATGATGGAGAAACAGATCCAGCAATTGATGGTGATAAAGTAGCAAAGGAACAAATCAAGGAAGGCAAAGAGAAAGAAGCAGTAACTTTTGCTAAAAAAATAGAGATCGAAGCAAAGAAAGAAGAAACAGAAAAAAAGGAAGAAGAAACAGAAAAAGAAGAAAAAGAAAAAAGAAATAAAAGTGCAGAGGAAGAAGATGCAGCAGCAATGGCAATAGAAAACGAAACAAAAATCAGCAGAGAGACTATGACAGCGCTACAAATGGTATCAGAAAAAGAAAACACAGCTGAAGAACTAGAGAAAGATGAAGACGCGGGAAAGGAAGACGCAACAGAAGCAGAAAAGGGAGACGCAACAGAAGCAGACGACAAAGTCAGATCTGGAACAAGGAGACGACGCACGAACAGATCTGGAAACAGCAGGGAGACCGCGCGCGAACAGTGGCTACGACCACGAATGGAGGCAGGGGCAGCGGCAGGTTTTGCGGCTCACCAGAGACGGCCAATAATGAAGACGAGCTGCTGGCCGGATGCGCTTGACCATGAGCAACCCAAAGAAATAGAAGAAGAAGGAGGAGGGGAGGAAGAAGTAGACGCAGACGCAGAGGCAAAGGCAGAAGCTAAAAAAATACAAGACGAAAACAAAAAAAGAGAAAACCTGCAGCGTGAACAAAGCGTCAAAGAAAAGGAGAAAGAGAGAAGAAGGGCAGAGATGGTATTCTGGAAATTAGGTCAATTTTTTGGGTTAATGGGCTCGGCCCAAAATTATTTTATGTTAAGAAAAAAGAAGAAAAGTTATATCCAACCCATCAAGATAACTCCAGCTAGTTGGGTGGACCAAGGCCCAAAAATTGAAAGGGTTAAATCTGATTTAGTGCTTCAAATAGAAGTGGGCCAAGGCAAAAGCAAGCTAAATGGGCCAGAACTAGTGGATCAGTTCAAATGGATGCAATATGTGTGGGATTTTTCTTTATGCCTGAAACACACTAAAGTTAATGGAGCCTCCAAAAGACTTTGTTCTATGGGCAGAAATGCAATTAAAAATAGAACACTATGCTTCAAGCAATGGGACCCAGGTGGATGTTCAATTACATCCCCTATCATCTTCCTCACCTTGAGGACAAGGTGAATTTTGAAGGGGGAGTATTGATGGGCTAGGATTAGTGGGCCCAAGTTTAGCAATGCAAAATTAGTTAGTTAGCTAGTTTGTTAGGGAAATTATTCTAGAATATTCCTAAATAATAGGATATAAGGAGGGGGTGTGAGAGTGTGAGGTATTCATGTATTCAGAATATTTGGAGTGGGGTTTTGAGAAAGGATCTCTTGGGATCTCTTTGGCCTAGGTATTTGGCTTTAGAGTGAGTGAGGTCTTTTGGTGTTTATTTTCTGTATTTCCTTTATATTTTCTGCAATTTATCCTTGTAAGGAGCTTGTCTCCATTTATATTTCTGCAATTTCTTATGAATAATATTAGGTTCCATCAGTGTCTTGTTCATTAATGCTGTTGTCTATTTGTTGACAAAATATACTTTTAGCTTCCATCATGATGTTGTGCTTTCTTTGATTTTTATTTTTTATTTTTAAATATTATAGTGGTCTGGAGATCATTGATGCTGCTGCCCGGTGCTTCAATTGTGGTTCTTATAATCATTCGTTGCGCGAGTGTCCAAAGCCTCGTAACAATGTTGCTGTCAATAATGCTCGCAAACAACACAAGTCCCGACGGAACCAGAATGCTTCTTCCCGCAATCCAACTCGATATTATCAGAATTCTCCAGCTGGAAAGTATGATGGTTTGAGGCCAGGTGCTCTTGATGATGTAACACGTCAACTCTTGGGCATGGGGGTAAGAGTTATTGAAAATTCTGTTTTGATGTTATTTTAAGTATTATAATATATTTCCACCCTTAGTTCTTTACTATATTTTTTGGATTGAGAAAGAAGTTTTATTGAAACGACACGAGGGAAAATGCAACTAGGTGAGGATAGGACATCCTTCAAAGTCCAAAGTAGGAAAAACAAACTGATGATAATCAATAAAAAATCAGCAGTGCAGCAAAGCTGCCCAATCCGACTGCATATCGGAGATAGCATATCCCTTGAAACAGCCCTGAGAAGAACCCTAGAGGGTAGCCATGAACACAACCTGCTGATCTCATAAAAGGTTTATGATCAAATGTGTACCCTTATTAAAGAGTGATACATTCCAAAACCAAATGCTCCAATAGAGGACATACTTAGTGCTCACCAAGGAACCCTCAAAATGATTGTTCCTAAGTAAAGTAGCAGCCTTACAATGCAATAAATGTTTTATACTATTTCTGAGTTAGGACTACACACAAACATCAGGGGAAAGAGCAGTTCAGGGTCTACAAATGCGCAAAATGTCATTTGTGTTAACCCTGATAAGTCCTGCTGTCCATGCTAATTTCTTGATCTTTGAGGGAGCTTTGAATTTTGAACCATAACAAATCAAACAACAAAGGAATACCCAACCAATATTTATAACATCATCCCACATCAGATCCTTTAACTACACTCCTTGCAGCCACACCTCTGAAACACCAGGGCACCACTTCAAAACCATTAATTGACTGCAATCACCTCAATATAACTCAGTCCAATCTCTATATCAGAAAATTGCAAAGAACCAGCCAAAACACTAAAAAGCTACAAAGCTGCATGCTGAATTCCGAATTAACACGATGAACTCCACAGAAAAGTCACCAGCAATTCCAAATCAGAACTCCATACTTACGTGGACAATATAATCAAGCACATGGCTTGCCTACCAAAGCCAGGGCATCTGACACTATCATCTTCACTTTCTAGACCCAGTAATGCACACACATTATCTTCAAAACAGCCCGTGTGTATTTCTGTGGGTCACATCCTTATACATCATCAACATCAACATCAACAACACCTTTATCCAAATTAATTGGGGGGTCACATCCTTATACATGCTATAAATAAAATCCAGAAATTCTGATCTCCAGTCAGACCTATTGATGTCTCAAGTAAACAATACTGTGCACACCTATATACTGAGATTTCAGCAATAGAATTGGATCTAAACACCTATAGGAGAGCCCAGTAATGATCCAGAAAGAAGTAATCCAACTAAGATGAGACACTTTCCAGCTTCCAACCAAATCTTAGAACACCTACCAGAACCATCCAACTGGCCTTTTTTAAGTCAATCAAATTATGAGATTACCCTGGTAGAAAACCTGCTAATTGCAAATTGGCACCCAAAAGCGGACGCAATAGCAGCACCAAGCCTCAAAACCAAGAACTATACCAGAACCAGAGCCAAGACTAAAACAGAAATAAGTAATGTTGGAAACCAAATTAGCTATGTACAATGTTTGTGATAAGAACCTTGAGGTGCACCACCCCAAAAGCTAGCTCAAAAGGTGGGAGTGCCCAAGGTCTTATAAACCCCACATTAGTTGCCCATACAACCAATGTGGAACTCCAAGTCCCATACCTTGCAAATGGGTCCTAACAATTTGTCATAAAAAACAAACTCTATTGCTTCCTGTTTTCACCTTGCACTTAACTTCAATGCCACTACTTCCTGGCAGAAAAATGTAACTCTTGCAAGAAAGCCACAATCCATCGTGATGAACATTAGTTGCCCATACAACCAATGTGGAACTCCAAGTCCCATACCTTGCAAATGGGTCCTAACAATTTGTCATAAAAAACAAACTCTATTGCTTCCTAGTTTCACCTTGCACTTAACTTCAATGCCACTACTTCCTGGCAGAAAAATGTAACTCTTGCAAGTAAGCCACAATCCATCGTGATGAATTGATGATGTGTGACTCTATAGGTAGCATCACATCATAAACCAGAACATAGTAGTTAATAGCGCCGCGAGCCGCGCTGTATGGGCGTTGCGGTGCCTCGTCGCAAGAAACCGCTCCGCGCTGCACCGGAACGCAATAGTGGCCATTGCCATTGCATTTGCAGCCATATTGTTGTCATAAGGCAAACTGTTAATTTTGTCTTAAATTTAAATGTGTGACAGAAAAAATTTAAGGGTTTTTTAGTCTATCCATGTCGCTCTCTGTCACTTCTGCTATCTCTGTCTTTAAAAAATGTTTCTTTTTGTCATTATTTCTATCATATAGCTATTCCACTATTTTCGCAACCGCGACTCGCTATAACGCTATAACGTTTTTTGGGGTTGGCCGCGACATGCCGCAATCCGCATTTGATAACTATGAACCAGAAACTTAAGATCCTTAAATACATAATTTCATGAAAAGGTGAAGAGAGGAGTGGGAAATGGAAAATAGATTTGCTGAAGACTTGATAATGGAGTGTATTTCCTCATACTGAACCTAAACTTTTTAAACTAGACTTTGACAACCAAATGACACTTGTACAATTTGGTTTAGACTTTAGATGCACAAGAGGAAACCCTTCTCTTAACCTCTAAGACTTCACTTAAAGCTTTACACTAAATAGTCTTTAGCATACATATAGGTATATGTACATAATTTTTTTTAACAAAATATATATCAATTGAACTTGGTTCTACAAATTACTCAACCTTTGAATTGTAAATTGGATGTGTAAGTGTTAAAGTAAAAATATTGGAATAAATTATTGAATAGAATATGTTAGGTGTAGTAATTTATGAATTGCTTTTTCAACTGATGGTTTCTAAGCTTATAATAAAAGTGGCAGAATGGAAAAATTAGTTGTGTTGTGGTAAATAGTTTGAAAATTACACTATTTATAGTGTTGTTATTTTACTTTTGCTGGAGTATAACTAAACTTTACAATGGAGACTTCTGTGATGTGGCAGAATTTTTCAGTCTTTATGAAATTGAAAAATGTTCTCTGTTACGCAGGAGCTTGATCCACCTCCGTGGCTTAACAGAATGCGAGAAATAGGATACCCACCTGGATATCTTGGTAAAATACATTTCTTTGACCTCAATTACATCATTCTTGGGAAGAATAAAGTTGTATTTCTTGTTTTCATGATCACCTTGTAGAAGCATTGACAGTAAGCCAATTAAGTACGAAATTGTTCATATGACAGCCATTAGGGTAAGCTGTTTTATTGTCACTTGCAAGACAAAACACCTAACATTTGCAGATGGAATTCAATACAAATGGCGGTATGATTGTAATCGCATAGAATCTGATACTCAATTTTTTAACCCTGAAAAATGTTGATTGCATCTAATTGCATTTCATTTAAGAGTTAGGGAAGAGAGAGGAGAAAAAATGAAAGAATCTGAGAGAAAGTGTTTCTACTGAATCTTGTGTTGTTAAATCACACAGTTCGGAAGCACAGAACTGATATATGTAGAGTTCAGAGAGAAGCTTGTTACCCAAGCTTATCAGATGAGACAGTTACACTTAGATATGACAGTTCTAACAAAATAGCTTTGCAGCAATAGTTGCCAGCTGTACAGAGCTAAAAGCAACACATTTAATGTTAACCTACTACAATCAGATAGCATAAACGAAATACAAGGTAAATATATTCTTCTACTCTAATATCATTTTTAACAATACTTGAAGTTGTGCTTAGGGCAAAGACTAAAGATATTGATTACAATGTGATAGGAATAAAAATTATTTATTATAACGAAATAGGGATAAATCCCAAGTACAATGAACCAAAACACTGGTAATAAGATATAATTAGGATTGAGTACTATAGAACTTCGAGGGTCTGCAACCTCACATCCAAGGTATTTGAGAGGCACCTGATCTCCCCCAACTCCCAATTTCTAATACTCAATAGTCTCTCGTCACCTCTTCCTTCTACCATATTTATCACATATTACCCATAAATACATGATCACTCACCCTTAATAAAGGAATCAATCACCAATAATCACGTAGTCAATTATCCATAATCCATAACTACAAAATTGATCACCCATAATTACGTAACCAATCACATATAATTCGACACCATAAATACAGAATCACCTATAATTTATACGGAATCCTCCCATAATAATATCCCTTCATTTATTATGAACACTCAGCATTGTGAAGGTTGGTGTATTCCTATCGCATTGCCTGACACAAATGGTCATCTTGGGTTCTTAGTTGTGCATTGATATCTAATTGATATATATATTTTTTTTTGGTAAGCTCTAATTGATATTTTAAATTTAATGTTGTATGTATAAGTTTCCTGGATAAATTTTTGAAAAATCTGCTATGAGGTTGTTGCACAAGTTTCTTTCTTAACTTAATGAACTTGTGCTATTATTTATATATTTTAAGTTTCAATCTTATTTCTTTTTTTCTTTTTTACCTTTTTCTGATATATCCTTCATTCCTTTTCATTTTTTCTTATTTGATATATGAAATTAGTTATCTTCATAACTCATGTTTTTGAATTTAGATGTGGATGATGAGGATCAGCCTTCAGGCATTACAATATACACTGATAGGGAGATTTCAGAACAGGAGGATGGGGAGATTATGGAAGCAGATTTTTCAAAACCAAAACGGAAAATGACTGTTGAATTTCCCGGAATAAATGCACCTATTCCTGGAAATGCCGATCAAAGATTGTGGGCTGCTGTGACTGGACCCTCAAGTTCAGATGTTCCAAGAAACTGGTCACAGCATCGGTGGAATCAAAGTCCTGAATATGGCAGCAGAGGCTATTATCGAGAGCAAAGATTGTTAGGGGACTTCAGGGAAGATGGTCCTCCAGGGGACCCAGGATATAATTCATCCAAGTATAGTTTCCATCCTAGGTTTGGTGGTCATGATTCTGTACCAAGAAGTCCTTCGATGTCAAGGTCCCAATCAGACCGGAGAAGTCCTTTGCATGATGAAGAATCCCCAAAGCCTATTTCTTTCCATTCTCTTCATTATTCATCTTCAGAGAGGCTTCTTTCACCCTTGGACCGCGATTCCAGTAGGCGTGGAAGCTGGACGCCGGAAAGCCTTTTTGACAGAGACCGAGATCTTTCTTCTCGATTTAAGGACAAGTCAGAAGACCGTCACTATCGTAGTGGGAGGTGAGATGGCATCAACAATATCATATTGGTAGGTTGAAAAGGTACATTTCTGTCGTGCATACCTTGAAATTATTTAACCTCACCTTATTAGGGACTGCTGGGGTTGTACAAAGTTATAAGGAAGTTGGCAGGTTTAGCCATTTCTGGTATGTATGCACTCATCTTTAGGCTATATCAGCTGCAACCCCTGGATGTTCAGCCTGTGTTTAAAATCTTTGGAATAGAATATGGTTATTTGTAAAGATTAATTATCACTTCATTGTAGTTTTCTCTTTTTGTCTGTCTCTTTATCAGGGTATGTGGACCTATATCCAAAAGGAAATCCTTAGTGTCATCAACCCTAGAGTTCATAAAAACATGGTAGTTGCTGTTTGCCAATTACTATTATTGATTTGATAAATACGAAGGCAAGGCAATTTGTGATCTTGTGATTATGCCATTTTGAAATATTTCAAACATAATTGATTGGACTGGTGTAAATAAATTGGTCTAGAATGAACTGGTCAATTTTCGAACTGTGCGCATCGTCCCTTAGTTTATGGCAGAATCACTATCATCGAAGCACCAATTTGTTATTTTGAACCCTGAAAGCAAATTCTAAAAATTAAAATAAATATGAATCGAATGTAGATAAGGTAAAGGAAAAGATAATACAAAATAATGTCCAAGTGAAATAAGCAAGTAGAGTTAGATTAAAGGCACCAAGATCAAGAAGGAAGATCCAATAGAAGTAAAAATACCAGATCGATTTCCAAGAGGAGAGGAGGGAGGGAGGGGGGGGACCTCGTATATTTTACAAGGTACTTTTTATTTATCAATGCAAAGTGGTGTTCCGTCATTAATTTAAACTTATATTTTTTAGAAAAACAATTAATTTACCAACAATGGTTCAACTTGTAAAGAGTTTGTTTTCCTTAAGTAGAAGTCTCAAATTCGAATATTGGAAATGTAGAAAATGGTTTTCGGAAAGCTGCCCCTTATAAATGGTTCAGACGGTGCTTGAACCGAACTAATTGGATAACCGATGAACCTGCTATGGATATATCAAATAATAATAATAATAATAATAATTAATTTTTTGAATACTCACTACAACCCTGCTTCTTGCACCTTGCAGTTCTCAGGCCCAAAATCTGTTTGCTCTTGTGGGCTTAGTATCCATGGGTTTGGTTTGGGCTGAGATGAGGCTTAGTCCAATCAAACTATAAACCTTTGGTTAGATATATTGGGCCAAAGCCTAAATATTTTTTTGATTTTGCAATTAGGGTTTCCGCAGAGAAAGCCTAAATATTTGGATGTGATTTGTGGTTGTGTATTTGTTTTTAGGAAAAGTGTTTGTACTTTTAAATGACACAACTTACATTATTTTACTCTTATAAAGAGGTAGGACCCATACTTTTTTTTTTGTCCACTCCCTCTTCCCCTTTATTTATGTCTTTCTCTCACTTAAAATGACACAACTTTACAGGCACTTTAACCCATTGGTTTTTTTTTTTTGGGTTTTAATGTATCAATTTAGTATTTGATTCACAGTATTTACCAATAGGGTTGTTGAGTGACGCAAAGGGGACCCAGCGACACTGAGTGACGCCCCCTCCCCTGGGGCACTCATAGGATTGTTCTAAGTGGCACAATTTTGTTAGTTATGTTACCGTAAAACTTCAGAAGATCGTAACTTTTGACTCGGGTATCCAAATTAGATGATCTTCCGAAGTTTTACAGTAATGGGACTAACGAGATTGTACCACTTGACACAATCCTATGAATGCCCCAGGGGAGGGGGGCGTTACTCAATTGAAAAAAAAAAGAATGTGTGAGTGACGCGGGCGGAGGGTTGTGACACTCAGTGCCGCTAGGTCCCCCTCGCGTCACTTAACGACCCCCATCAGTAAATACCGTGAATTAAATACCAGATTGAAAAATTAAAGGGGTACAAACCCCAAATGAGTCAAAGAATTCAACTTTACATCATTTAAAATGGTAATACTTTTCCTATTTTTTTATAATAAATATTTATATCGGACTGATATCATTAATAATAGTTCATTGGTCCGGCTATCAAAGAATTAAGGTTAAATTAGTTAAGTAAGACAATAGCTTTGGATACATTTGGGAGTTTTTTTTTTGGTTAGCAGGGAAATAGCCCAGGGAACACAAAAAAACTACATCAGACTAACACAACGAGAATGTCTTACATTCTATAAAGCACTGACACTTCAAAAATTCTAACGTATCGTGCCCGACACTTTCTGACATTCACCGACACTCCGACACTTCTCGACACTCCAATACTTTTTGCAAAGACTCAAAAAAGGTTCAAAAGTTATGTTGCGTTGCATTTTAAATTCCAACTAATTTTTTTTTTGGTATTCGAATTCCAACTATTAGATTCGTTAGATTACGACTACGATTTTATTGAGTTTAATATAAACATTTGAGATATATTATGTTTCTTTGCAAAATTGAAGAGTATTATAAGTTTAGCTTTATTTTTTTGTTAAATTATTGAATACTAAATGTAATATACACTACATAAATTAAAAAAATATATAATATTAAAATGTGTCCTAACGTATCAAAATTTAACAGTTTTAAAAATTAACTTGTCGGAGTGTCGTATCATGTCGTATCCCGTGTCGGTATCGGTCCAACGTAACTTACATTAAAGAGATCTGCTAAGTAATTAAATCTAAGTCCTATAGGCATGTAATAAAAAGCATTATGGTCTTCCATGGTGTCATGTAAGAGGATAATTGGAAAGGCAGATCAGCACAAGAATTAGCTTCTCTATATGTGTGCTGCAATTTAACACAACAATCTGTATTCAGCCAAGCACAAATGGGAGATAATAGATGGGTCTCTCGAATAGAATTATCATATTTGGTAAGCAAAGTGACTATGGTGAAAAAGTCACTTTTAATAATAACTTGGTGACGTCGAGTAGTCCAAGTCATCCCTAGTCCTTTTAGCGAGAAAAACTTCAATGCACTGGGACCTCCGAACTCGGCGATCCCTTTTATTAAAAAGTGAAAAAAAAAAATCCCAAGTTTTTTTTTATATTTATTTTTAAATCTTAAAAAATTTCCTTTTATATTAAAAGGGAATAGCAAGTTCGGTGATCCCACTACATTAAAGTTTTTCTTTCTTTCAGCACTCCCTAGAGTTCTACCGTGTATGCCGTACTACTCCTAATCCTCAAGGCTAGACCACTAATCCACTGCCCTTTCTAACCTTGACATATTACTCCACACGCTGCTTGCCCTATGTTCCCTTTGGAAGCGCCATCAATATTTACTTTATTCCATCCATCATCAAAAGGACGAGCAAAGTTTTGGTTTACTCGACGACGTATCGAATTTGGTACACCCGTTTACTAAAATGGATTTTTTTTTTTCACTTTTATCCTTGTTTTTTTTTTTTTGTATATTTTCTTCTATGTCCCTTCAAACTTTCCTCATTTAGTAAATGGGTGTACCAACATAGTATTAAAAAAAAAAACTCCAAGGGGACACCACGCAACCTTGATAGACACCACTCTATGCTTGGAATGGTTTGACGGTGTAGCTTCTTATGCTGCTTGAATTTCAGAAATTGTTTGATCCACAAGCTTAAGGACAGTCCCGTAAAGCATGACAAATTGTTTCAGACACACTGGAAAATTAGCATCTTCTAATCCCCTTCATCTAGCGTGCCATTCTCTAGTTGGGAGTCGATTGTGTATCACCTTCCACATTTGAGAGTTATTTATATTCACGTTAATAGTTTTGTAAGTGATGGTAGATATAATGAATTCAATTGCAATATATTTCAATTTATTAATTAAATTTATTTTATATGAGAGTGTTATATTCTCAATTTTTATTTTCAAATTTAAATTAACTTTGAATCTAATCATACATATCACATTGGTCAATTTTTGAATGACACACATACATGATATGTTTTTTTTTCCTATTAATCATAACTTCTAAGATCTAATCTTGGGATATATATACATTATATATACAAAATTAACATGATTACCATAATTTTTTCCAGTTATCTATGACATGATAAATATAAATTTTTTTAGACTATGTGTAATCCCACAATTCATCATAAATTGTTAATAATGTTGGTGATCTTTTTTAAACTTGTATAGAGGCACCAAAGGAGCTATGAATTTTTGTGAGGGGGACGAAATTATATGTATTTTAAAATTTATAGCTAAAATAGAAAGTTATATAATTGAATAATAATAATAATAAAACCGAATGAAGGGTCCAATTGCAGTAGGTACTCTTATATTTGAAGAAGAAGAAAGTGAGACTCTGATAGGACAACTCTGAAGATATTTTTGTACATGAGGGCAATACAAAATAATAAGGTGGCGTTTGATTTATTTTATGTTTTTTTTATATGTTTTCGTTTATAATTATCAAAATGTTATCATATTTTTATATTATTTTAAGATATTATAAAAATGATAAGAATACGATTTATTTTTGTTATTTTTTGGGGATTGATTCTTTTAAAAGACATAAAATTATGTTATTTTAAATAAAAAAACAGATACACAATAGAAATCATGAGGGGAGAAAGTGAGTTTTTTAAATTTAAATTTTAAATAAAAAATACTAGTTTTAACTAAAATGACCATACTTTTAAAAGGACAAACATTTTGTCTTATATTTTTATAAATTCTTAAAAAAAGGAAATAAATATTTTTTAAATATTACTTTTGAAACATGTATCTCTCGAAGAAATTGGCGAGAAAAAGTGAAAGCAAAATTTGAAAATGTAAAGCTTAAATATTAAGAGCGTGGTGTGAAGTGGATGCGGAAACATTAGAGTTTGACGAATTGAGCCGCGTCACATGCATAGAGATATTATTTCAAACTTGTAGACAATATTGTATTATTTGCTCTGGAAAATAGGTTGACCTTTCATTTGTATTTATTTATTTTTGCAGATTCTCATATGACAATATGTAATTTATTTATTTTTGAAAACAGAATGCCAAAAAATCAAAAGACAATGCATTATTGATTGTACAATATATTTAAAAAGAGTCCAGGCCTACGGAAAGAAAAAAAAAAGATCAGAAGATATAGACTCATCGAAAGAGAAAAATCACCTAATGTATTAATAAAATAAGGAGAAGGTAATAAAATAGGAAGAGATTATAGTTATTATTATTTTTTTCTTATTATTTGTTACTATCAAATCCTAATCGTTGATTTTCATTAATGTAACAATTATAATTTATATCCTTTAAAAGAATAGATATTTTTTCCTTTATTAAAATTAATAATCGGGCCGGATCTAATAAGATTACTTTTTTTATTAATTCATTTAAACCCTAAGCCAATTAAACCCACAACACAAAACCCTCTCTGTTCCGTAATTCAAGAAAACG